ACTCAGATTGAACATCAAATAGAGCAATTGGATTCATGTGTTTGAATTTCTGCTTATTAGTAGGATTACTTTTATAACAACATCAATTTATTTCTCTTTTTTAAAAAAAAAAAAATCATATTAACCTGATATTTAATCACATACTTTTACTTTGTTTAAAAAAAAAGGATAGAAATTGAAAGTCATAATTCTATTGTTAATGATTTTTTTAATTTTTGTGGATTGTAACATTCGTTGAGTGTAATTAGTTGTTTACTATAATCGTTTATGATTTGATGTTATGTTTTCTCCCTTCTTTAATTTATTTTAATTCTAAATGGTTTCTTGTATATAGAGATGGATCAGAATATCAATGATTTTGATTATGAGAATAACGATGAGCTTGAATTATACGTAGCATTGCAAGCTGTAATGCAACAACTATATGCCTTATGCGCCATAACTTTTTCTTGTCATTGAGGTTGTCTTGAAGAGGTGGTATTTATCTAAGTATCCCCATAACCTTATTAGAGGGTCTAATCGATTGCAAAAACAAATGGAGAAACTGTTGGTCGATATTTCAATGATGTCTTAAAGGCTGCGTTGCGCCTACAAGCCAACTTACTCGTCACACCAGATCTTATAACTAAAGCAAGCATCGATCCAAGGTGGCATTGCTTCTAGGTAATGGATTTTGTAAAAATTTGGTAATATTGCATTACTTTTTTTTTTTTATTTCTTTTATTAAATGTTCAAAAAAAAAAATCATAACTACTATAGCGATCCCGGGTTTACCCTTGATATACAGTGATCCGGACATGTGTCCGTGGATGTTGGTAGTTGTTTATTTTCTTATTTACATCCTTTTTACTTAGTATTTGAGTTATAGGATGTGTTGGGCAGGTTTGTTACAGGTTGGTTGAGTTTAGAAACCAAAACTAGTTGCCCAGATTTTGACCTGTCCGCTCGAGCGGGGGTGTTGGCGCTCGAGCGGGGATTGCACCCATCCAGTATTTCCTGTGCAGTGTTGGACGCTCGAGCGTGGTATTGGCCGCTCGAGCGGGGTTACGTGAGTGCCGCTCGAGCGGGGAGTGGGGAGCTCGAGCGGAGACCTGGTTCTGCAGAAGTTCTGGGAGTGTGTATTCGCCGCTCGAGCGGGATTGCTGGCGCTTGAGCGGGAGTCTGTGAGTTACGCTCGAGCGGGCCGACTGGGTTTAAGTTCCGTGTTTTGACTTTTCAAATCACTTTTTCACTTTCTCTTCTCTCTCCTACTTTTCCAAAAACACCATTGTTGAGCCTCTCACTCTAGAACTCTACCTTCTCTCTAGGTTTTGATCTAGTAGGAGTGATTTGCTCGTCTTTGGCCTTTACAAAAAAGTTGTTGATCGTCGAGGGCTACATTTTAATCTGAAAATTTCAGGATTTGGAGCACGTTGGGTTTTGTCATCTTCTCCCTTGGGGCTCCGAATTTGAGGTAGGGATATCCTACTCCTCTCTATGGATTTTGTCTTTAAATTTTAGTATTTTGAGATGTTGGGGTTGGTTTGGTAATTTTGTGAAAATTTGGGGCTTTTGTGTAAAACCTATTTTATAATTGACCAAAAATGTTTGCGTAATTTTGGAAAAACCTGTTTCTCGGTTGCTAATGTGTTGATAGACACGGGTGCATCTCATTCTTTTGTATCTGCTGCATCTGCATCTGTTTTGGAGTTGGAGTTAGCACAGTTAGCATCTCGAAACTGTAAAGTGTGATAAGGGAAAGTATCAGTGTTGGCCATCTATCAACTGCTAATCTTTTAGTCATTGTTGATATTTGGTTTAGTGTATTTCTACTGGGCTGTGGCTCACCCTATATGGGAATATCATTTTCAGGTACAGGTAGCATGCCACCTCCAAGGACATAGCTTGGGAGGCTAGAGGCGGACATACTTTTGTCGTTTTACTTTTGATGTATTACATGTAAATTCAAGCCAAGGGCTTAATGTGTATGAGTTAGTACTCTTTTGTTGTAACCAAGTGTTAACTTGGAAAGCTGTAAGCCCTTAGGGCATTTGCTTTTGTTGTTAACATGTAATACTTATGTAATGGAATTCTGATAAATGGAAGAATGTGGAGCTTTTACATATCAATGCATGTCTTATTTGTTGGGATTAATGTTATTATTTCGAGGGCGTTACAACTACTATAATGTCTCTCGAATTGGTTTGTTTAGAATTGTCTTGGAGCACTTGATGGCACCTATATTAAAGTTCATGTACATGTGGTTCATCAAGCAATGTATAGGACAAGAAAATGAGAGATTGCTACTAATGTTTTGGGAGTTTGCTGCCAAAACATGAATTTCATGTGTTGCCGGGGTGGGAAGGGTCAACGGCAGACTCTAGGGTTTTGAGAGATGCAATCAATCGAAGATAGGGAATGTTTTTTGGGCATCATTTGATGAGTATGGTAGGGAATGCTTTTTGTTAAGTCTATTATAAACTTGTTGGTAGACTTAATTATTGTTTCTTTTGTGTACAAGCACCCATATTTTGTTAACTATAATTGGGATGCTCTTTATATATTTGGTTATGTAATGAATATTAATGTAACACATTGAATGCTAACTGTTATCCAACCTTTTTATATATATGGTTATGTACTGAATATTAATGTGATGTGTTCAATGATAACTTTTATCTTACCGTTTTATTTTCATTAGGACATTTGGGTATCATATTGTTTGTATTATGTTGATATATTTCTCAAAAAAAATAAAAATAAATAAATAAAATAAACAATAAAAAGGGTTAACTTATTGTATATCTGGGATGATGTTCCTACATTTGTGTAGGTGTTCCAAATTCAGTGTCGGGTTTGCTTTGAAGCCAAAAAAATTCATATTTGATGCTTTCATGGTATTAATTATACTTAGTAAAATAAACAAAATTTTAAATTCTCAACTACAAATTAAAAAAAAAAATTGTGTAATTTTTATTAATATTTTATTTATTTATATTTTTGAAAGTTTTAGTAAAAAAAATTAATAAAACTTATAGCTCAGATTTAATATTCTTATTATTTAGTAAAACAATTCAAAAGGGCAAAATAGTCTTTTGAGTATTTATCCTTCTCTATAATATTCTAAATAACATAAGATTCACTAGAATAGTCTAATCCAAACATCTAATCTCATAACTAAATAAACATAAGATACAAGACGTGAGCAGTCATACTCTGAGTCTCAGACATGCACACTTATGAGCAAGTGAAACCTACTTTTTGAGAAATCAATTAAACATAAGTATTGAAATTTCCAAATCAGATATTTGACTTAATCAATGGATTTTGTTGATGGTAATGGTATAAATTTCACCACTTTGGGATGTTAGTTGCATGGGATGGACTCTTCTCAACCGTTGGATCATAACAAAGCTCATGGATGACAGAGCTAAAGGAAGGAGAAGGAGAATGATTAAGACCAAAGAGAAGAAGGCACTGCTGCAACCATCAAACCACCGTGGTGATGATGTAATAAGTCATTTTTATTTTAATTTTTTTTGTCTTTATTGACTATTTTAGCCAAACTTTGGATCCCAAATGGGGCATGATTTGATAACATTAGCATAGCTTTATTGTATTAGAGATTAGAAATGCTATGTACCAAACCAAAAGTTTAGTAAAATATTCACAATATTTAGTGTAGATCTGAATTTAGTAGATCATGGTTATAGTATTTTATGTATGTAATATTATTATTATTGTATCTGTGTGGGTGATTTTCCGACCACACTGCCCGCTTAGTAACCAGCTGGAGAGCACTGGCAGAATAGATGGCACCTGACGGACCTGCAACAGAAATATAAGAATCCCGCGGTGGTTTCGACCACCCGGGGGCACTCCGACGATCAAGTCAGTATATCTCTTAAAGATAAATCAAGTACTAAACTCACAAGCTTGAGTATCAAAAGCATACCTTAGACCCATGGGGGTGCCTCTCTTTTATAGCCAATACAATCCTAGTCCCAAAAGGAGCCTGGCCCTAATGGACTTAGGATTACTGCTAATCTAGGACTCCCAGTGGGATTCGGATAAACTCTCTAAGAGTCCTATCTTTACCCAAACTGAAGTCTTCTTCCAATCTAGGACTCTTGTCCATATCCAAGTTGAGTTCCCTCTTTATTTTAGGACTCTTGTCCCTTATCCGCTTATCTCGGTTTCCGATATCTTCGGAGATAACCTCGGCCTTGCCTAGATCACCTCGGCATCACGACCAGGACACGTGGCACCTCGACTGACACATCGGCGTCACCTTGCCACGTGTTGGTACTCAGAAAATATATCCTCATAGTATCATTTAATTTTAATACTTAGAACGTAAATTACAGGAGCTTTATTGTCTGACTTTCCACTCACGTTATTTCAATGGTAAATTACACTGACCTCCTGTGAAAAGTTTGGAGATAATATAGTGAACTTCATAATTTTAATATAATTAAATTAGGCTGCCTTACACTTAATTCTTTTTTATTAATAATTGTCAAATACTAATAATAAATATCAGAAAATTTTAACACACCAACATGAACTGAAAATTGGGGAAAAAATATCAACAGACATATATATATATTCACACCCAACATGAACTGAAAAAATATCTACTAATCAACACAGTAACATGAATTGAAAAAATATGAAACAATGATTCTTACATCAAAAATAAAACTAACAGACAAATAAATACATTCACACCCACACATTTCTAGCACGTTTGGTTTGTAATAATGATTCTTTAAAATATTGTCATATTGAAATGCTTAATCAGTGAAGGTGAAGTTTTTGAGTGGATGACAGTAAACTGAAAAAAATGGGGAAAAATCAACAATGCACAATCACTCACTGCAACCCCTTTCAATATATAATAACTAAAAATCATTTTGATGAACACAACAACATGAACTGAAAAAATATCAAATAATGATTCTTGAGAAGGGAAGAGAAAAACAGAGCAGAGTAGAGAAGAGAAAAGAAGAGAACAATACCTTCGATCGCCACTGCCGCCGCTCGCTACCGATCATAAGCCCTAATTACTGAAAAAAATTAAAAAAAAAAACACAGAACACACTCACAGAACAAAGGTTGAGAAGAGAATATCCAGAGAAGAGAAGAGAAGAATACCTTCGAATCGATGCTTCGATCGCTGCGTGCCGCCACTGTCACCGATAGTCGATCGTCGCTCGCCGCCACTCTCGCCAATCGCCGCTTGTCGCTCGCCTCCATTCAAGTGAGTGAGAGAGAGAAACTGTTGTCTAGAGCTACAAAACGTTAAATGGAAAAAAGGGAGGGGAAAGGGAAAAATTCTCTCGTGTGTGTTGCACACTGATGCTAGAAGTTTGTTAGAAAAAATTCTCAACTAACTCGAAAAAATAAATTTGGGGGAATAATATATATACACTTGAAAAAATAAAAGAAGATTTCCCGAATTAAAAAGTGAAAAGATTGGGGGAGGGAATAATATATACACTTCAAAAGATAAAAAAGATTTTCCAAATTAAAAAGTAAAAAGATTTCAAGGTCTCCATTTTTATTTTATATTTGTCCTTAAAAAATAGAGAAGTATATTTTAAAAAATAAATCATTTTTTTAAAACACAAATGCGAGATAAAATAAATATGTTATAATTATTGAATCAATTTAATTTTTTTTTTTATAAATAATATACTTAAACAATCTTAAAAAATGATCGGACAACACCTCTCTAAGTCAAAATGAGGGGGGAAGAGAAGCATACTCCAAGCTTATATTACATTCAATTTCAAGGGTTATATACTAGAAGAACCAACTCTTCCCAACTTCTAAAACAAAACAAGCATTCATCAATTTCTTACAATTAGGGATGTAAACGGTTTGGTTTGGTCATTATTAAGAGGATATTAAACACTGCACCAATTTTTTTAGTTTTTATGATTAAAAAACTGATACAGACCGTATGCTACGGTTCAATTTTGTTGGTTTGATGTAAAAAATAAATTATGAAATTTTAATTTTTTTTATAGTAGATTATAGAATTTTACATTAAAAACAAATGAAGAAAATATATGAAAATTGCTCTATAAATTTTATTTTCTCTAATTTTTATCACAAAAATGTATTATATTAGTTACTTCTCATATAATGTTCAAGAAATAAAAAAAAAAAAGATTTCAAGGTCTTCTAATGTATATCATCTATAAAAAATTAAAAAAAAAAATTAAGATGGTTCCATAATCGTAACATCTTCATTTTATCATATTTGTCCCTAAAAAATGGACAAATATATTTTTAAAAATAAATCAATTATTTTTTAAGGACATATGCGAGATAAAACAAATAATTATAGAATCAATTTAATTTTTTTTATAAATAACATATTCGAATAATCCTAAAAAATACTCATACATCACCTCTCTAGTCGTCTTCCCGACTTATAAAACAAAATGTGTATTGGTTTGGTCGGTGTTAATAGTATATTTAGCACCGCACCACACCGATCTTTCAATTTTAATGATTAAGAAACCGATACAAACTGTATGCTACATTTCAATTTTGTCAATTTGATGTAGAAGATAAATTTATATGAATTTTTAAAAAAATTTATAGTAGATTATTGAATTTTACATTAAAAATAAATGAAGAAAATATATAAAAACGGCCCTATAAATGTTTCTCTCTAATTTTTATCACAAAAGTGTATTATATTAGTTACTTCTCATATGATGTTCAAGAAATTATAATATAAAAATATTTTAATATAAAATTCGATCAGTTTGATTTGCAACGGTACAAAAGGTTTCAACAACGGTACCAAAGGTTTCAAAATCAAAACAGACCGTATGCTATAAAAAACAGACCAAAAACTAAAATTTTGATCGATTTCGATCAATCAGCTCAGTTTTATTGATTTTTGTTACATCCCTACTTGCAACAATAGGCCACTGGCTATTTGACCGTGAGGGTCTAACACATTTTTTTTTCTTTTTTCCTTTTCCTAGGTGCACAATTATGAGTCCAACAAAATCTTAATTATTATCTATATATCAATCTAAGACCATATGTAAAAGGTATATACAACAATGAGAGAATAAACAAATGTAAATATTTAATAAACAAATGAAGAAAAAATGCTAGTAATGAAATTTAATGAATGCTTTCAAAATATTGTATGTAATCCATCCATTCCATCCAAAACACAAGATTTTGGAAGCTCTGATTCCAGCTCGGCGAATTCTCTATACTCCTGCTCAGTGCCCAAACTTTGCTCCCTCACTTCTTGGCCAAACCAAATTCCTGACTTTTGCTTATTCCAAGACCCAACTTTTTCCGATTCATCACTTTTTCCAATAAATTTTTATTTTCTAGTGACAATTGGGCATTGTGGGCCTTCGAAGAATCGATCGGGATGGGAGTCGCTGCATCATCACTGGCTACAGATTCAATCCTTGGCGGTGTTGGAGATTGAACTGGCAAAGCTCTGCAGATTCCATTATCACTACATCTCACAACACTGATTAGACGGTGAAGCCATGTTGCCATTTCGAGGACATAGTGGTCTGTCTTGTGCATATCTGCGTGATGAAGTGTCTGGAGGTGAATCACATTATTATGGGTGTCCCCCTTCTTGCCGAACTCATTACTACAAGAAAAGAACACATGTGGCTAAATGTCAGTGTTGACGAAAATGAAAATATGAGCACTAAGAGAAAGGCGAATAACTAACCAGGTGTTCGCCCACTCTCTAACCCACCCAAAACCTTGATGAGCCCTATCAGCCAAATAAAAAGGAAAAAAGATGTAAATACATTTATGACCATATTATGGCAGCTAAAAGCTTGAGCAGGAAAATATTAATGGATTTCAAATTCAAGCATAGGCAAAGCACAAAGCTGACAGATTCATTAAACAATCCCATTCAACATACTTGGAAGTATTTGTAGCCACTGGAACAAGCCATTGGAGTGTCTTCTCCATTTCAGCTTTAATTTGAGGAATTGCAAGCAGCATAAAGGCCAAAAGTTGAAGTGCCTAAGTTACTTATGTAAATACACACATTGCATTTGTACACTTACAGAATACAAATTGAAGCATTTAAAGAAGTCCATGGAAACAAGCATGCAAAGCGTTAAAGGAACTACACTATTCTATTTAAGGCATACCTCCTCCTTGGTATCAATTGTTTGGCACCGAGAACGTAGAGCAATCTTGACACTGTTTGGATACCCGTGATATAGTTGGTCTCTCATGTTAGGAGGAAGGGAGGTAGGCCGAGATGCCTAAAAAAAAAAAACTTGTATTTGAAAATCAACATAAATTTGGTTATGTAACACCATCTATATGGAAAAAGGGTAAATTATGGCCCTCTTCAGCAATGGCTTGTTTGGCTAAAATAGTTGATGAAAAAATAGGTTAAAATAGTTAATAAGACAAAATGCCACATCCAAACTATAATCATTTAACTTTTTCTCTCACAGCCATCAAATTAACTACACAAAAAAAAAAAAAACAACCAACTTCCCAAATATACAATCAACTTTTCAAATATAATTTTTTTAGCCAGACAAAAATAACTAAAAAGCCAACACCCTTGAGGTTTATCAATAACACACTTGCAACCCCTCGTGTTCTGAAAATTTACTCTTTCATGCAAAAACTTCCGTAATAAATTAATTTAAAAAAATTATCATAGAATAGTGTAAAAATTTGCAAATATCCACAGAAAATTATCATACATGAATTGCATCACAGTCAGTTAATGAGAGAAGCAGATGGACAAAATTGAAATGAACATGTATTGTTGTTAATATAAAAACAAAAAATCCTGTGAAGTATGTCTACAAATAGAAGGTGTATGCTGAATGACAAACCCTTATCGCCCAACATAGCAAAAAGAGAATTAAAAAACTAGTTTTTTCTATTAAACAATGTCATTGAGCATTTACATCTTTGATATAAAAAAACCTTTCACAAGATAATCCAGAAGTTTCATCTAACTTATAATTTGCACATAGGTCACACTTATTCACAAATGCACCCTAATAATGCAAGCATGCATACCACATCAGTGCCACTATAAATTGAATATCTCATTATATGCAGTAGAACACTACCATAGAGTTGTGGGAGACACAGTAAGATGGCCTTGCCGCACTTGTTTGTGAAACAACAAAATCCTAATTTGCACCCCGAATATGTTCAAAAACTTTTAAGTGTGCTCCACTACAAATACGGTATAATTATAGCACAAAATGCCACAACCACTATAACCATATCTCATAAAAATAGGACCAAAGAACCACAGAAAAACCTGGCCTCGTTTCATGATAATGTTGAAAAGCAGAGAAACAACAAAGCCAGTGAGGGGAAAAAAAAATAGTATGAGAATTTAAAATTATATCATAGCATATCCACTTAAAGACAATTACAAACATGAACCAACTCCTAACAAATATTCTTGTTAGTCAGAAGTTACTCACACAAGTGTAATTAATTAATGTCTATTAATATAGCTCAGACAAGTGTAATTAATTAATTAATAAATATTAATATAATTGAGCCGAGCCTAATTACACACTTATAAAATCTCTAATATTGATTTACTAGTTTTAATAATTATTTTAGCTATTTAAACTCACTAACCCATCCGACTAAACTATTACTAGTTTTAATAATTATTTAAACTATTTAAACTCACTTCTACCCACCTGACTAAACTACACTAAACTAGTCCCGATATAGCGATCCCAGTTGTCCCTTTACTGTTCTGTCGTATTCCGGACTCAGTCCCGTGAAGTTGGTAGTGGTATCTATCTTGTTGTCGTCCTTTAATTCCACTTGATTGAGTTTTAGGATGTTTTGAACAGGGTTGTTACAGGTTGGTTAGGCCTTGGTTTCAATTCCTTGTTGTTCAGTTTTTAGGTGATCTGCTCGAGCGGGTATTGCACACCTCCAGTATTTCGGGTTCCTGCAAAACTTCTGCAGATGTGATTTTTGCGCTCGAGCGGGTTTGTTTACGCTCTAGCGGTGGCGCTCGAGCAGGTAGTACTTCCTGGGTATAAGTTCTGGGAGGGGGAAATCTACGCTCGAGCGGACTGGTTTTCGCGCTCGAGCGGATGTGCTTTACTCTTGTGTCTTGGCGCTCGAGCATGTCCAGATTTTTGTTCTTGACGCTCGAGCGTTGTGTTTTCCACTCGAGCGGGAATGTCGTATAACAGAGGACAGTTAGGCATTTTTGAATCACTTTCTACACTTCCTCTCTCTCTCCTACTTTCTAAAAAGACATTTTGAGAGCCTCTCTCTCTAGAAATTCCCTTCTCTCTAGGGTTTGATCTAGTTAGAGTGCTTTCCTTCCCTTTGCCCTTTGTAAAAGTTGTGTTGATCGTCGAGGGC